GGCGCGCGCCGGCGGCGGGGGCGGCGACGGGCCGGGGCGCTCCGGTGGGAAGGGAGAGGTGAAAGGTCGCCGGTCCCCGGCAACACGGCTCAGGCAAACGTAAGCGGCTTGTCGCAGAAACCAAGGGGTCCAAGAAACGCGCTAGGCTGGAAGGCGGGAAGCAGAGATTACTGACAGCCGTGCCAGCCAATAAACTGGAAATGGGGGAAAGCTCTTTAGGCCCCTTCCCAATCAGGAAACTTGAGTATGAGAGGGAGTGAAGGGGCGGGGTGGGATCTCGGTCCAGCCGGGACTGGCGCGGCGACAATTTTGGCTAGTGTGAGAAGGACGTTCGAGTGACGGTTGACAACGGGTGGGACAGCGTCAGGGCTGAGGGAAGAACCTGAACTGTGTGCTTCCAGGACTTCTGGCTAGACGCATTAGTTTTTATGTTTAAGAGTTAGGGAAAAGACATTAGTGAACATCTCACTCATCGGAGGTTTTCTACGGGATGATTTTATCAAGAGTCTCTGTTACTCGCACTGTGTGACATCGTAAGGGAACTTATAGTGTCACTTGCCGCCTTAAATCCTTTCGGGAACAAGCAAGGATGTAAATAAATAAAGCTAGGTATGGGTCTCCCTTCCATGAGGCGCTGATAGGGGGACTAAAGTCGGGCAACAGCTGAGTGTGTCCACAAAACTAAATATTGAACGAAATACGAATATAGGAATAAAATTCATTGCAATGTTTACAGCTTATGATTATACAGATCTTGGATATGTCATGAACCTGAACCGCACCCCTCGAACGCAACAGGAAAAAAAAATCTAATGTAGCTGATTTCAGACTCTGAAAGTCTGAAAAGACTCAGTTTACAGATGAGTAAACTGACCCAGAGAACTATTTTGCTCAAGGTCATCCATCAAGTTAGTAGTTTAATTAAATCAATGTACTCGGAAGCAGTTGAAAAGCTTGGGGTTTTGGAGTCTGAAGTCTTGGTTTCACATCCTTGCTGGCGTGTTCTAAAAGTGTGTCTCTGGCAAATCCCTTAACATGTTGCTATTTATTAAGTGCTTACATGTGCCAAGCAATCCACTTCACATGTGATGCTCTTTACATGCAGTATATTACGTAGTTATTACCATCCCCATTTTATAAGACAGTTTAGGTTTAGAGATATTAGTTTAGAGATATTAATAATTTACCCAAAGCCACACAGGTATAAATAGTGTAGTAATAATTCAAACTCAGCTCTTCCTGATTCCAAAGTCTGTCCTCTTGAATATTGCAGTACGCTAGAGCTTCAGGTTCCCTCCCGCGTAAATAGCGACTGCAACTCTACCTCCCACAATTCTTATGAATCAAATGAGATAATGTACATGGTAATGTATTGTAAGATGTAAAAAGGTATAAACATATTCACTAGATTTCTAGAACAAAGATGCTCCTTCCCAATACTTTCCACTACAGCACTTCATCCTGAAAGATGGCTTTTGTACTAAGCTAGCAAAAAAAAAGGAGTTCACTGTAATTCTGTTGTATTCTAACCAAGAATACCTGCATAGCTGAGGCAATAACCAAAGAGAATAGAATAAAATTTAATTTCTGATAGAGAAGGGAATGGAAAAGAATACTAACCCTACTCTTAGCATCCTTTATTGGAAGGAGCATCTAGGAGGCATTGGGATTTCTAGTGCTTTATGAAAGATAGATGACAGTCTGCTGAACGAAGAAGAGAATAACGTTTAGTTTGGGAATAAAAGTTCATCTGGAGTATGAAAAACACATTTGCCTCAAGTCAGGGAAGAAGACATGCTGAGAGCTGAAAGAAAGGGAAAGCAGGTAAGTTAGTGCATATTGGTAAAGGTCTGTAAGCCAAAGTCCAGAATTTTGATCTGATATATGATGTAATAGGAAACCACGATATAGCCTTCATGACCAAAAAAAGAGGATTTATACATGGAATTGGATTTTAAGAAAAGGGAGCTGTGATGAGGAGAAAACAGGGTTTGGAATAAGTATGTGGTAGTCAAAATAGAAAAAGGCTTATGCCAGACATTATGCAATCAAAGTGATCTGTGAAGTGTACAAAAATGTGTAAAGATGTTTTTAAATGAAAAATTAGAAAAGGGCTGGGATTTTCTACTAGATTGTTTTGAAACAGTAAAAGACGAGGGACAAAGATAATTCAAAGACAAATGTAGTTCAAAGCCATATTACATTAAAGCTTGGGCGAAGTATTCAGTAGAATATAGTTTTGAATTGGGGAAAGACTGAGTTTTAGAATTAGAAAAGCTGAGGCTAACAAATTTCTAAAAATAAATAAAATATCTCTAAAATAGTTTAGAAAATATTTGTCATTGCCACGTGTAGGTTAAATTGAAAATGAGCCTTCTAAGTTAAATTGCCTCATACAAAGACATAAGTTTACTGAGGTAGAGTCATGGCACTGTATTCTTAAGGCATTTATTTGACCCTTTTATTTCCTTCTTTAGACTTAATATTTAAATAATACCCACTACTCCATGAGACCCAGAAGCAGAAGATGTGATTTTTAATGTGGATAGTATGCTTAATAGTAACCTAGTATGAAATGCCAGGAATTACAGAGATTAGCCTGAGACCTGGTCAGACATCCAAGGATCACTCAGCTGTGAGCTGATTTGGTCAATGAAGGTTATCAGAGAGTACATTCTAATTAAGCCTCCATTCCCTAGTATATTTTGTTCTTTTTAAAAAATACTTCATTTCTCACTGCATATACCTCTACCATTCTGATTAAATAGACATTTAAATAAACGTTTTACATGTTGTCTTCTGCATTTTGTACCAGCTAATAAAACTGAAGAGATAAAAAAGGAAAGCAGCCCCCAGTTTAATATTTAGTGTGCTGTACCTCTTATGCTACAAATAAATTGTTTGAATGAATTTTTTCAAAAAATATAATAGAAACGTTTGATCTGTTAATTCTCTGAAAAGAGGTATTTTATTTTTTAATTAACCAAGCAATTGGCACTGCAAATTTAAATATTTTCTAATACCTTAAGACACAATAGAACTTGTGTGCTTTTCATTAGTAATTAGTTGATGAGTTATGAACATAAGCAACTATGATGGAAAAGGATATTAATCTGAAGAACAATATTCCCAGTCTTTATTGGCTTTCAGTGGGGATTCTTTTCTTTCCTAAGTTTTAGTCTGAGCAACATGGACAAAAGATTATCCATTTTCAGTAATAATGATTGGCTCTCTAGAGAAAGCAAAGATAGTGGATATTCACAAATAAATATTCCTAAACCCATTTCTTTGTCTTCATGCTCCTGCCTTTCCTACAATCAGTCCTGTTACTAAAGAACATAAACACTCCCTCTACTTGAGTATCTGTCTCTTCAGCCTGTGCTTTGGGAAAATATTTTCCGCGTTTGTGTTCTACCAGAAGCAGATCCTGAGTTAGAGATTCAACTGCGGGTAGTTTATTTTGGAAGTGATTTCAGGAAACAGTAGGGGTTTGGGGAAGTGAGACAGGGAATGGAAGGAAGGCAATGAAGGGTGAATTACCAAGCAAGTTATCACTGTAAGCAAACAGAGCTTAATCTCACTGGGATTTCCTGGGAAACTGTTTAAAACAGTAGCCTCAGAAGTATCCCACCTGAAGTGTGGGAAAACTGAGGTATATATACACCAGCTCCCTTCGGTCATTGGTTGAGGTCTCTTCCTAGGGTGTTAATTCAATGCATGCTGGCCAGTCTTCCTACTGCCAGTGCTGCATCTTTTTCTGAGGACTTTCTCTGGCGGCCAGAGTCTGTTCTGCCCTTATACAGGCTGGAAATGCTGGGGGATTAACACTCCCTTGTGGAACATCCCCCACCATTATGGAAAATCAGGCCAGCATGCTCTGAAATGGTAGGCAAGGAGATATGGGTGAGGCAGTAACCATTTGCTACGAGTATCAACATAAAATTAGGAAAAAGGAAAATGAGAAACCTATCCATTACTGCAAGATATTGTTGGGAGTATCAAAAAAATATGAAAGAATTTGGAAAGCTTAAAGTACTTTAAAAAATCTAATTTTTATATTTTATATTATAATTTTCACAATCCAAATATTGTAACCAAGCATTGATTGTAAAAAGCCCAAATAATTTTTTTCTATGTTTTTAGATGTGAAGATCAATGTACTTATTCTGATTTTTTTTTCATTCAGTGCAGCCCAAGAAAATAGGAACAAATATATACCAAAAGAGTATATCACCTAATCCCACATCTCAGGTCTTATATACAAATTTCTATAAATAGACATATTGATTGCAAATACTTTTGTAAGATTGCACTTCTTAGGAAAATGATTTAATGAGCTTTATCTTCTCAGAAATTCAAACAGCTTTTATGTTTATATATTTAATAATGTGAA